ATTGGACCCAGTAGAACCTTCAGCACGTCAATACGATATTGGGTAACTCTTCAATTGAATCGATTGATCCATTACTTGCTCTAGTTTTTTGAATCAAAATCTGCCCAAATTTTAGCCATTTGACATAAAATCTGCCATATTTTTTCTTCTGTTGAAGTGCGAATTTGCTGTCTATTAGTGGTGGATATGAGCGTCGGTGATGTGGCTTACGCCGACTGCTGGTAGTGGTGATTGTGGTTGATTTTGAGGAGGGAGATCAGAGATGGGAAGGTTTTGCCGATTCGAAATGGTGGACGACATGTGGTTGATTTTTCATTTTTTTTTGGTTTTTTATAAAATATGTTTTAATTTTAAAAAATCCACATGCATAATATTTGTTTGACTTGTCACCAAGTTAACGCCGTCAGATGCCATGTCAGCAATTCCATCCGGCATGTCAACACCCTACAAACAGATTTTTTTACGGTGATGGATGGAGAGGTAAATGACAAAGTTAAGTGACTACCGTGAAGCACAATGAAGTTCGATGAGCAGTCCGTGACCACGGTATAAGTTCAGTGACTTTTGAAACAATTCACTCGATAATTATATGGAGTCTAAATTGGGTATATAGTATTTTCCAAAATATTAACCACGTCACAAAGTAATGCTTGGATTATAAAAATCACATAGTAACTCTTGAATATTAATTTCGTAATGACATAGATACGAATTTTTTTGAATAAAAATTAATTATTAATTTAGCTTAGATTTGTCTATCATTCTTAAAAAAATCTTCTTCTTCTTAAAAAAAAAATGCATTTTCAATCACACATAAAATAAAATATTTTGCACGTAAATAAAAAAAAATTCATACTTTTTAACCACACATTCTCCGAAAAATCAATATTCAAAAACTAATTTTTCTCAAAATGCACTTTTTAATGGCATCAAAAAGTTATGAAGACTCGTAGAATCCGTAGCTAAAATTTTTTTTGAGTAAAAAAATCCCCACCCAAACAAAGAAAAAGTATAAAAAGTAAAATCTTTAAGCCACAGTTTGATTTATATAAAAATAAGATTTTTAATAGATTTTAATAAAAGTTGATGAAATGTGCGGTTGAAAAGTTGTCATTTCATAAAATGTATAGTTAAAATGAATTATTAATTTTGACTTAAATTTTAATGGGTTAATTTCACAAACGGTCACTAAACTTACCTCAAAATTATAAAAACGCCCACTAAAGTTTAAAACTTGCAGAAATGGTCATTGAAATTCCACGCGCTTTCACAAACGGTCACTGAATGACCGTTATGATTTTAATTCAAACTTAAAGGACCAAAACACGTGAATATAGAACCTTGAGGACCTCAAGTGCAAAAAACTACTCAAACCCCCCCAAAACCCAAAAAAATCGCCCCATTCCCTCATTCGATCAATCTCTTCCAAATTCATCCTCATTCATTCGAAATTGGCCAAGACCCATATGTTCGGTGGATGCGCCATGGTGGGCCAGTGCTAGGGGTGGTCCTCCACCGTCACCAGAATTCATGGTTGAAGGGGCCGACTGAGCTGTGGAACAAAAACTTTGCATCTTTGGATTTTATGATTTGTTTGAGATTATGAGGGCATATGTGGGTGTGTAATAAAGATATTGATGGACCTGTGTGGTAGGTACGACATGGGTGTCGTCGGAAGTTGATTTTTCGACCAGTTATTGGTGCGTGTTCATCTGGTTTTAGTTCAAATTTTCGGTCAAATCTAACGGGGTTGAGGCTGGTGGTTGGGTGGGTTTTGAAGGGGGCAATGAGGGCTTCAAAGTGGTATGTTGGTTTGGCGACCAAGGTGACCGGAGGTTGGGTTTTTGGTTGTCCATAGTTGGTGACCGGAGTTGACAAAGTGTTTTGGTCCCCACTTTGGTGCGATTTTTCGACCAATTCCGACGGGGTTAAGGCCAGTGGTTCGATGAGTTGTGAAGAAGGCATTGAGGGCTTCAAGACAGTATGTTGGTCCGGTGGCCAAGGTCGTTGGAGGTTGGAGTTATGTTGGTCCAAAGGTGGCGGGTTGAGAGAATTTGGAGGAGGAATGGTTTTGGGTGCACGGGCAGCTCACTTTGGTGCTATTTCCCGGCCAATTCCGACGGGATTACAGCCAGTGGTTGGGTAGGTTGTGAAGAGGGCATTGAGGACTTCAAGTATGTTGGTCCGGTGGCCAAAGTCTCCAGAGGTTGGAGTTATGGTGGTCCAAATGTGGCGGGTTGAGAGAATTTGGAGAAGGGAATGATTTTGGATTTTAGATGAAATTTGCACTTGATATCCTCACGATTTTATGTTCACGTGTTTTGATCCTTTAAGTTTGAATTAAAATCACAACGGTTATTCAATGATCGTTTGTGAAAGAAATTAAAACTTCGGTAACTGTTTCTACAAGTTTTAAATTTCAGTGATCGTTTTGTAATTTTGAGATAAGTTCAGTAACCGTTTGTAAAATTAACCCAAATTTTAATCCAATTTTTTAACTGAACCGAACATGGCCTAAATGCAAAACTTGTAATTCATCATCTAACTAAATATAAAAGAGTGAGTTAGGGTTACTGTTCACAAGCCGTGAGCCAAGCAGAATGAGTTACGGCTCGGCTCGGCTCGATTTTTTTTTCTTTTTTTTTTTTACGTTTGATTCAGTATTTTAAGTTACAGATATTCGTTTTAAGTGATTTAAAAATTCGTTGGAAATGTTGAATTACGACCATGATAAATATATGATCGATAAATTTTAAATATCAAAATTTGAAGTGCGGCCATAATAAATATATGATC